TGGGATACACAGACACACAAAGTCCAATTATGTGGTCCATATATTTTTCCTGTTTTCATTAATAATGGAAATATTTGTATATAGTTGCATGAAGATGTGCCTTTTTTTTAAACAGTTGCAAATGAATCTATTCTGTGGCTGTGTTAATCTGATGCCTGTCCCCTGCTGTTGGGCAGTTTGTTCACCTCCATTTTTTTAATACTGTGATCACAGCCACACTTTGTCCTCTATCAGCTCCTTAAAATAACTTCTCGGAAGAACACCGGCAGTGTCAAGGAAATGACGTTTTTATGGCTTTCTGTGTATGCTGCCAAAGTTCTTGGTCTGTTTTTCCACTCCGACTTTGTAACGTTGGAAAGCTGATCTTGTCCATAGTTTAGAAGTCTCCAAATTGTGATCCACTGGACACTGAGAGTCCAGCCGTTCTTCCTCCTCTGGATGACTCCTTTCCTCTCTTTGCACAGATTTCCCTGACCCGTAAGTGTGGCCGTGGGGCTCCAGCATCTGCCTTGGAGGAATTGGAATGGTGGGTGGGACCCAAGTAGACCAGTAATGTGTGGGTACATGGTGGGTACATGTGGCTAGTCTATTTAGAGTGTAGTTGTAGGAAATTCCCCTGGGCCTGTCCCCTCTCATCCATACACATGCCCAGGGCAGCGATTGGTGGCTGAATAATCAGAAGCTTTGGGCCGATCTTTTGGCTTAGGACCAAGTCCCAGTTCCTCCACCTGGTCTTGCGATCTGGCTCCTGTCCCTCCTTCCCCTTCAGAGTACGTCCTTCTGCACTCTAATTATAGTGACCTTTTGATGTTCCTGCAGAATGCCAAACTCTTTCCTCCTCATGCCCTTCAAATACAGGATGTGGTTCCCCACTCATGGGCTTACTCTTCTACTTTAGGGGCCCAGCCAGGTGTGTTGATAAAAAAACATGTCTGCTGAGATCAGGCTTGGGTTACTCAGCCTGTCTGTGCCTTCCATACTAAGTGGTGATAGTAATATCATTCCCCCCATGGAGTTGTTTGACCACCCACCAAATGTGGTGGAATCTATACGCACTTGGAAGAGATCCTAGCTGGCACATAGTAAGGTCAAAAACACTTACTGTCCTGCAGCTGGTGGCCATCCTCAGCTTAAAATTCTTAAGACTTCTGACCCTGATCCTGACCCTGACCCTGACCCTGAGCCAGGAACAACAAGTTTCTGCTCCCATGGCCACTGTACCTTCCTTCCTCACAGTTCCCACAGTCCAGGAATGGAGCCAGTTGTCCCATTCCTTCAGCAGAGCAACTGAGGTGCTTGCCAGGAGACCCTCACAGACCTTCCGCCATAGCTTTGGTGAGAGACTCCTCACAGGGGTCTGACACAGGTGAGGCCTGAGCGTCTGAACTTCCAGCTGCTCAGTTCTCAATCGATGCAGGACCAGCACTGATGCTATATTTTTTAATTAAATGAATTACTAGAAAAAGGAAACAAGAGCTAGAGAGATAGTTCAGTCAGTAAAGAGCTCGCCACGCAACTCTGAGGACCTGGGTTTGATCCTTCAGACCCCACATAAAAAGGCTGAGATCACGTGCTCTGTAGTCCAGCCTCTAGGGAGGTGGAGACAGGCAGATCCCTTGGAGCTTGGTGGCCAGTCTAGCCAAACCAGTAATATCCAGGCTCAGTGAGAGACTTTGTATAAAAAAATATTGTAGAGGGACTGGAGAGATGGCTCAGCAGTTAAGAGCACTGACTGCTCTTGCAGAGGACCTGGGTTCGGTTCCCAGCACCCACATGGCAGCTAACAACTGTCCCTAAATCCAGTTCCAGGGGATCTCATGCCCTCTTCTGACCTCTGAGGGCATTGCATGACATAGGTGCACTTACACACATGTAGGCCACACACTCATACATATAAAATAAAAATAATAAACAAAATATTTAAAATATTGGATATTGAGGAGCTGGGGAAGACACCTGACAACCTCCACATGCACACACCTGCACATGTACCACACAGTATACACACACCACACACATATACAATACCGACATGCACACACCTACACACGCACCGCACAGTATACAGACACCGCACACATATACAATACCGACATGCACACACCTGCACACACACCGCACAGTATACAGACACCACACACATATACAGTACCAACATGCACACACCTGCACACGCACCACGCAGTATACACACACCACACACATATACAATACCAACATGCACACACCTACACACACACCGCACAGTATACAGACACCACACACATATACAATACCGACATGCACACACCTACACACGCACCGCACAGTATACAGACACCGCACACATATACAATACCGACATGCACACACCTGCACACGCACCGCACAGTATACAGACACCGCACACATATACATTACCGACATGCACACACTTACACACGCACCGCACAGTATATAGACACCGCACACATATACAATACCGACATGCACACACCTGCACACGCACCGCACAGTATACAGACACCGCACACATATACATTACCGACATGCACACACTTACACACGCACCGCACAGTATATAGACACCGCACACATATACAATACCGACATGCACACACCTGCACACGCACCGCACAGTATACAGACACCGCACACATATACAATACCGACATGCACACACTTACACACGCACCGCACAGTATATAGACACCGCACACATATACAATACCGACATGCACACACCTACACACGCACCACACAGTATACAGACACTGCACACATATACAATACTGACATGCACACACCTGCACACGTACCACACAGTATACAGACACTGCACACATATACAATACTGACATGCACACACCTGCACACGTACCACACAGTATACAGACACTGCACACATATACAATACTGACATGCACACACCTGCACACGTACCACACAGTATACAGACACTGCACACATATACAATACTGACATGCACACACCTGCACACGTACCACACAGTATACAGACACTGCACACATATACAATACTGACATGCACACACCTGCACACGTACCACACAGTATACAGACACTGCACACATATACAATACTGACATGCACACACCTGCACACGTACCACACAGTATACAGACACTGCACACATATACAATACTGACATGCACACACCTGCACACGTACCACACAGTATACAGACACTGCACACATATACAATACTGACATGCACACACCTGCACACGTACCACACAGTATACAGACACTGCACACATATACAATACTGACATGCACACACCTGCACACGTACCACACAGTATACAGACACTGCACACATATACAATACTGACATGCACACACCTGCACACGTACCACACAGTATACAGACACTGCACACATATACAATACTGACATGCACACACCTGCACACGTACCACACAGTATACAGACACTGCACACATATACAATACTGACATGCACACACCTGCACACGTACCACACAGTATACAGACACTGCACACATATACAATACTGACATGCACACACCTGCACACGTACCACACAGTATACAGACACTGCACACATATACAATACCGACATGCACACACCTGCACACGTACCACACAGTATACAGACACCGCACACATATACAATACCGACATGCACACACCTGCACACGTACCACACAGTATACAGACACCGCACACATATACAATACCGACATGCACACACCTACACACGCACCGCATAGTATACAGACACCGCACACATATACAATACCGACATGCACACACCTGCACATGCACCACACAGTATACAGACACTGCACACATATACAATACCGACATGCACATACATGAAAAAAGAGAAAAAGGAGAAGCCAGGGCTTTTCCACATGACACTGTTGACATCTGGGGCCTTCCCCTTGGAGAGCGGCCTGTGTCCGTACGGTCTGCAGTGGCAACCTTGGCCTTTGCTCACTGGATGCCAGTAGCTTCATCTACTCTAGTGTCTCTGGAATTTCAGGTGTCCCCTGGGGGACAAACGTCATCTCTGGTTGAGAAATGCTAAAACTGATCAAGTTTTATGAAGAAGTAAGGATGTAGCTCAGTAGAGTGCTTAGCTACCATGCAGAAAACCCTGGGTTCAATCCCCAACACTAAATAAAGTCATGGTGGTGCACCCTAATTATCTTAGCACTGGGGAGGGAAGTGGAGGCTCAGAAAAATCAGAATCATCTTGGCTATATATTGAGTTTGAGATCCTGCCTAAACAAGGGGAGAGGGGTTGGCATAAAAGGGCTAGTAAAATGTGCACAGGATTAAAGCCCTGCTGCCAAGCCTGACAACCTGAGTTCAAGCCCTAGGACGCACATGGTGAGAGAATCAATTCTCCCAAGTTGTCCTCAGACTTCCACATGTGTATAGAACCCCACCCCCACGTGCATGCAACCAATCAATATAATTAAAAAAAATTTTTTAAAGAGACCTTTGAAATACAGACTTTGGTTTTTAAGATTTTTTCGATTTATTTATTCTATATGTGTTGATGTTTTGCCTGTGTCGATGTAAGTGAACCGTGTGAATACAGTGCCTGCGGAGGTCTGCAGAGGGGGTCAGATCTCTGAAACTGGAGTTATGGACAGGTGTTAGCTGTCCATGGGGTGCTGGGACCTGAACCTGGGTCTTCTGCAATAGAAGATAGTACTCTTAACTGCTGAGCCATCTCTCCAGCCCTGACTTTTGGTTTTTAGATTGAACAGTCATAAACATTGCTATCTCAATTTGCTATGAAGTTTCTAACCCCTTTCTACAAGTTTTTGTATCTAATTTGTATTGGGCCAGAGACAGACATTCTTCCTGGACCAGCACTGTCTTCAGACCATACTGTGAGAAGCACAGAAGCCTCCTTCCTATTATAGAAAGGGAAACTGAGGCATGCCCATGGCCAGTTAAAATATGCTGTTAAGACACATTTGCAACTGCTGGGAACTTTTCTGATTGTTATTCTCCTCAACTCCCCTATAACTGATGATGCTACCCAGTCAGCTGCTCCCACAGACCCAGGAAACTTGCCCTTAGCTGCCTCTTCCCATTATGGTGACACTGCCGGCCTGGTCCCTATGGACCTGACAGCCCAGAGGTACAGTAGAAACCAGGGCTTGGCAGCCTGTGGGACACAGGGTACAGGCTGTGAGGCTGCCTCCTCCTTTTCCCCGTTACCATCCACACACCAGCCCCACACAAGGTCTGTATATCTGTTCTCAGCACAACAGGTGTGTACCAGGGCTTAGCCTCTTCTTGTGGCCTTAGTTCTAATCTGAAGGGACACCAGGGACAACCATCCCCACTGGCCATTTTAGAGACTCCCTGGGGCTATCAGGGGTCCTATTTAGATAGAAGCCCTCTAGAGAGTGCGTTTGCTGTTTCTGTTTCCGGAGGTGGTTTGGCTGCCTGCTGGCCTTCCAGGACACCAGCTGGGTCAGCTGCTTGTTTTCTTTCGTCTTTGGGTGGTGATCCGAGAAAAGAGGAGGCAGCAGAGCGTGGGCCTTAGCCTGGCACGGGGACCTGGGCTCCGAGCCCTGTTCTGCCCTGTTTCTTCCTGCCATGCTTCTGTCTTCCTTGACCTTCACGCTCCAGCACGCTCCAGCAGGCCAGTGCTGACTCTAGTTCTTTGCCCTGTGCTTGGCTTGGATTCAGCTTCACAGCTCCCGTGGCTGCAGCCTTTGCGTGTAGACCGGGCTTGGTCTGCAGTGGACTTAAGACTTGGCTCAGGTGTTGGTATAGGTTCACACTCACATGCATGCATGTTATAGACACATATATGGTGCACATGTGCATTGCATGTAGATCTCAGTATGAGTCACTTTTCTCATTGCTGTGATCAAATATCTGATAAAAAACAACTTGAGGGACGAACGGCTTATTTTGGCTCACAGCCTGAGGGTGCAGTCCATCATGGCGGGAAGGCTGGGTGGCAGGAGTGTGAGGCAGCTGGCTACTATGTGTCTGTAGTCAGGAAAGATGAGTGCTGGAGCTCTGTTGCTTTCTCTTTTTTAGTCTGGAACTGTTACCCATAGGATGGACTGCTCAGTTAGGTCTTCAACTTGAGGGACGAACGGCTTATTTTGGCTCACAGCCTGAGGGTGCAGTCCATCATGGCGGGAAGGCCTGGTGGCAGGAGTGTGAGGCAGCTGGCTACTATGTGTCTGTAGTCAGGAAAGATGAGTGCTGGAGCTCTGTTGCTTTCTCTTTTTTAGTCTGGAACTGTTGCCCATAGGATGGACTGCTCAGTTAGGTCTTTCCTCCTCATTTAACCCAATGTAGAAACTGCCTCACAAAGGCAGTTTGTCTTCTAGGTGATTCTAGAACCCGTCAAGTTGACAATATTAACCATCATGGTCTCTGAACAGACACATTTTAAAAAGTATTCTTATTTTATGTGTATGAGTGTACTACCTGCATGTATATAAATACACCCATGTCATACAATGCCTGCAGAGATCAGAAGGTGTCAGATTCCCTGGAACTGGAGTTATGGACGGTTGTTAGTTGCCATGTAGGTACTGGGAATCGAACCCAGGTCCTCTGAAAGAGCAGTCAGTCCTCTTAACCACTGAGCCATCTCTTCAGTCCTGAACAGACTCATTTTAATTTATACTTATGTCTGCAAAGCAGCTGCATTTTGCCAGATCTTGCAGGGTAGTGGGGAAACTAGTAAGCAGGACAGACATAGCCCCCTCGCCCTTCAGCTTGTGCCTAGGTGCCTCCCTCCAGGAAGCCTTGTCCCTCCAGGTGTCCTTGTTACTTTTCTTTTTAAAAATATTTTGTTTATTATATTTATTTTATGTGTATGAGTGTATTGCCTGCATGTGTGTGAGTGCACCTGTGTTGTGCAATTCCATGGAGGCCGGAAGAGGGCTTTGGATTCCCCTGGAACTGTAGTTAAGGATGGTTTGTAGCCACCATATGGGTGCTGGGATTTGAACCCAGGTCCTCTGCAAGAGCAGTCAGTGCTCTTAACTGCTGAGCCATCTCTCTAGCCCCCCCACCCCTTGTTACTTTTCTATAGCTATGATAAAACACTGACCAAAACCAACCTGGGGAGGAAAAGGTTTACTTGGCTTAAAGGTTATAGCCTTTCATCGAGGAAGTCGGGACAAGGCGGGAACCTGGAGGCGGGAACTGAAACAGAAACCATGGAAGAATGCTGCCTGCTGGCTAGCTCCTCTGACTTGCTCAGCTACCTTTCAGTACAGCCCAGGACCGCCTGTCTAGGGATAGTGCCGCCCATAGTGGCACCCTCCGTGTCAATCAGCAATCAAGAAAATGCTTCACAGGCCAGTCTGATGGGGACAGTTCTTCAATGGTACCTAATTTGTTTTTTCTTTCTTTTTGGTCTCTTTTGACATAGGGTCTCCCTGTAGCCCCAGCTGGCTGGCCTTGAACTCAGAGATCCGCCTGCCTCTGCCTTCCAAGTGCTGGCATTAAAGGCATATGCTACCACACTGGCTTCAATTGTACCTAATTTGTAATGGGCCAGAGACAGACCACTCTTCCTGGACCAGCACTATTTTCAGACCATACTGTGAGAAGCACAGATGCCTCCTTCCTATTTTAGAAAGGGAAACTGAGGCCAATGCCTATCAAGACTGACTAGATTTGTGTCAAGTTGACAAAAACTATCACACCAACCCATGAAACCTTCCTCTGAACACAGCAGCCACCCAGGCCCCTGCATTAGTGCCCTTTCTAAATGTCTCCAGGTTACCTGCCCCTGAGTCTCTCTCGCCCACTACTCCAAGAGCTCCTCCAGGGAAAGAACTTGTCTTTATGACTCCTGGAACCACAGTACCCAACGTGACACGGAGCAGCAGGATGTTGTGACTTAAGCAAGATTTGAGGGGGGGACAGGAAGGCCTCCTTGCTTGCCTACCTGGGGCAAGTGTGTGTGATCCCCTCTGTGGCTGTGTGTCTCAGGGCAGGCAGCTGGCAGCATGGATCTCTTCATCACCGGGGAATCTGCTCAGTGCAGGAGAAATAGAAGGGGAGAGACATGGCCGGAAGCCACAGCCCAGAACCTTCCTGGCAACCTCACACTGGCCTAGAATTTCAGTGTTCTCTCACTATGAGAGTTAGTTATGGCTCTTACTTATGTGTAAATTTAACACATGTGAGGTACTGCGAGGAGCTGCTTGCCCTTCTCCCTGCCTTCTGACTCCCCATCCCAGTGGTGCCCTGACTTGCCAATCCCCAGAGTTTTAGGAAGGTCCAGGGTCTTCTGGATGAAGCCAGGGTGAGGCTACTCCCTTAAGGAAGCCTGGAAAGGAGTTTTTCTTAACTCTCTCATGTTCCCATCTTACAGTGGGGTCACAGAGGGGTACAGGGACAGAGGATGAAGGGGCCACAGGGACACCTGGGACAGAAGGTGACTGAGGATGTGGCTAGATGGCATGCAGGAGAACTGAAGTCCAGCTGGGGTTGTGGTCTGTGATTTTTGAGGTCCCTGCCGTATCTGGGATTGTGTTTTACATGACTTGTCCCAGGCTCCTTTTGCCTGGGCTTTTCTTGTAGGATGGCTGAGTGCACTGTCTTGAGTGCCTCTGTGGGTCTTCACAGGGGCAGCAGATGATGAGTTGCTGTTTTGACTGTATCTCACAGATGCACAGGCTGTGCGCTTCAAGGCACCAACATGCTTAGGCCACATAGTAGTTGGTGGCAGCCAAATTGAAGCAGGTACAGTTGGGCTGCCCAGCCATGTTCCTGACCCTTTCCTGGCAGACGAAGTCATGTCACCTACAGCTTTGACCAAGAGTGACCACAGAATGCAGGAAGGCATGGGAAGCAAGGCATAGATGGCCTTGGTGCTAAGGTCTTGGCCTGCTTCCCGCCTTATTTCACAGAGGGAGGACAGGTAGAATTTTGGTCAGGAGCAAGTCATGGTTAAAACCAGGACCAGAGACAGAGGCTGAGGGAGCGAGGCAGTTCTGATAGGAGCAAGGATCAGTTGGTCTCACTTTGCTCACCAGCATCGCCACAAAATGCAGTCATTGTCGTTATTCAGTCTGTACTTGTGAATCTGACTGCTCTCTGAGGTTTTATTTATAACCCCAGAGTCAGTGCTCATAGCTCCTCCTCAGTCTTTTGCAGATGTGTTCAGAGTCGTGAAAATGGGAGTCACCAAGGTGTACACCATCAGGCGAGGGCCGAGGGGCAGCTCTGCCTTCTGGATGTCTTGGCTCTTGTGCTGGGAGCAAGTGTCCTTTGCGTGATCTATTTGAAGACTTTTGTGCTTTTTTTTGCTGATCTTGCTGTTTGGAGGGACCCCCTTATACACAGTGCTGAAGTGATGTCTTAGCACAGGGAGGCCTAGGTGTGCCCAATGAAGAAGCTTTGTTCTGTTTGTCAGGAGTTAGTGCCGTTCGTGTGAGGGAAGTGTTAGTGAGTCAGTGTTATATGTGAGCTAGGATGCCTTTAAACAGAAACACACAAACACACAGACACAGACACACACACACATATGTACATTAAAGGTTGTGTTTTGATAGACCGGTTGCTGAAAGTCTGCCCAGAGGCTCTCGGGAACCTAAACCATCTTTCCAGCAGGAGCAGTAGTTCAATGTTTGCTGGCTCAGGACCTGGCCCAGGATGGCTGGCACAGACCATTGCTGTGAACAGCAAGCGGCAAATGGACTAGCCTCCGCCCACCGGTTGGAGCAGCTAAGAAGGGTGTCCTGGGGGTGCAGTAGTGACGGCTTCAGCCTCAGATGTAGCCCTGGTCCCCACCCCAGCTAAGGGAACTTCTTCCCCTTCCTGCTTAGTGTAGGACAGGAGAGAAGGGATGGAGGAGTAGGATCAGGTCCTCCTTGTGGAGGTTTGCCTTCCTACAGAAGTAAGGCTGGTATTTTCATATTTATTTATTTATTTATTTATTTTATTTTTTTTTTTGAGACAAGTTCTCCCTGTAGGCCCAGTTGGCCTGGACCTCACTATGTCGACCCAGGCTGGCCTTTGCCTGCCTGAGTGCTGGGATTAAAGGCATGCATCACCACACCTGGCCCAAATCTGGTATTTTTAAATTGAAAACTTAAATTTCAGTAAAAAAAGTTTTAAATCTCACAATTTCTTTTTAGACTTATTTTT